GTCTACGTCACTTTCGTGCGATTCATCCCTCCTCATAACATGCCCATACCACTCTAACCTTTTACTCCTTACCCTCTTTACTACTGGTGCTACTCTCAAACTTCCTCTAAAATACTCATGTCCTATCTTATCCAATCGTGTCACCACAGATCCATATTAACATTCGCAATTCTGCCACATGTATTCTCCTTTCATCAGTCTTTTTTACTAACCAACATTCAAATCCATACATCATGACAGGACTTACAACACACGGGATTAAAATTTGCCATAGATGTAGAGGATAGTCTGGAAGAACACATAGGCTACTTGCTTTTATTTTTTTTAAATTCTGCGCGGACGAAATCGCGGGCGAAAACTAATTCCATCCAAATCGCGGGAGACAGTTAGTTTCGAATCACTTAATAATCTAGTATCTAATAACTTACAGAATCATGGAAGACTTCGTGCAGCGTGATGATGTAGGGGCATCCCTGACACGCCTTCAGCAGTTCTATTTCTTGCTTCACGTCCTTCTTTTGTGATGATATTATCTGCAATGTTAATAAATAAGTTATTTAATACAAAATAAAATTTTACTAATATAAATGAAACAGTTTAGATGTATGTTTGTATGTTATCAAGTAACTCTTAAGGAGGCCGGAGGAAAAGTCCTAACAGAGTAGACTCTGGAAGCTTAAAGCTCCCTTTCCTTATCCATACATTCATTAGGTAAATATTATAAGAGGAATTTCATACAGAGGGGACTTTATTTCGACTTAGATTCAAATTTCTGTTTTTTTCACTATTGCTTTAGATTTTTTTCTCACATGTTCTTTTGTTGTTTTGCGATAATATTACATACCCTTTGACACTCAGGGTAAGAAAACGGATCTAATGACACCTCATACGTTAAAATCGGTTTAGTCATTTAAGCTCTAACCCGTTACAAAGAAATTAATACATCAAAACAAGTTTATATACGCGTTAAAACACTCTCTTGTCAATTTAAAAAGTGTTTTTTTCTTATACGTAGTGGAGGAAGTTATCGGCAAAGTAATATACCTTAACAGCGTAATCTTTGCCGGTGTGTCGATGTATGCACTTCCTGCAGACGGAGTAGGAGCCGTCGCCCAGCAGCGGGCTGCTCAGCTCCACCGCGTACTTCTGGAAGAACGGGGAATCCTGAAAACATACCAATTATTACATTATAGTGAATAGAAACCAAATTTTTCAACGATATAAATATAATTTAAACAAAAAAAACTAAACAAAACAGACATAACAAGTGAAAAAGTATGAAGACAGAACACATATATATATATATTTATTTGTGAACACGCCTTCTATTTGATTTTTTACTTATTTTACTTTATATTACTTACTATCTAAGATTTTGTGAAGTTATATTGATACTTGTGTTTTTTCAATAAATCTTTTGGAATACAAGAATTCTAGCGACATTAAACATACACACTTATATTATAAATTGAACTAGCTTTCGTCCGCGACTTCATCCGCATGGAATTAAAAAAAAACAAAACTGAGTAATCTATGAGTTTTTCCAAACTATCCTCTACATCTATACCAAATTACATCGAAATCCGTTCAGCAGTTAAGGCTACAAACTTTAACAAACATCCATCCATCTAAACTTATGCATTTATAATATTAGTATGATTTGAAATCTTACTAATATTATAAATACGGGTACAAGTATAGCTTGGAAGTTTTTTTAATATGTATTTACCTTGGCCACCCAGCCTTTCAGTTTGTCGTGTTTCTGTCCCGTAGCCTGCATCCATATCTGGTCAGAGATGATATTCTCTGAGAACAGAATGCTCGGCGCCACGTACGAGTAACCTGCAAATAATATATAATTTAATACTTCAACAAAACTAAATACTTAGATTACTGCTTTGTTTTTTTATCATAATTATACATATGGTTAATAAATTTTGAAATAAGGCATATTTCTTCCTCATGATAGTGGAGGGGAAAGGGATTAAAATAAGGCCTCCGGCACCACACTCATCAGACGGTACGCGGAATTGCTTCCACTTCCAGGATGGGAAGGAAAAGTGGATTTGTCGGTGGAGGAGATGCATAGGAAGGGGAAATATTCTCTTTATGTGCGTCTTCTCCATCAATTAAGGGTGGGCAACGCATCTGAAATCGCAGATGTCCATGGGCAGCGGTCGTTTCGCCGTTTTGGCGGTTTCAGGTGGCCGCTTACTCGTTTGCCACCTCGTCATATAAAAAAAATACTACACGCCTGTTTTCTGTGTGGTCGTGGTATTTGTGGGGGGGAGCCGACCCTAGAGTGCAAAAATGTTAAAGCGGGGTCTACCAGTGATAAAATCTCCGTATCTCTCTAATGGAACATATGGGTGCCCTTTCGGAGCGTTTACTCCCCAGAGGGATTTTACCCCATTTTACATTACTTACCTAGGAACAGCTTATCATGATGCCGCGGCGCTTGCGCAGGCGAGTCAGTGGGCGGCATGCGAGTGAACTCGTCCGCGAAGTTGCAGGTGTCCGCGGCGTGCGACAGTCCCGGTACAAAGGGGGCGGTTACTTCGCGACGGGACACCGCCTCCCAGTCCAGTCCCTGCGGAAATTATTGTACATTTTTACCTCTAAATTTAAAAGTAGTCAATATACACACTAATTTTGTATAAGTGTTTGCGAGTATGTTACGGTTACGGGATTATTCCTGTCACCCCACTCTGTCCCCACATGGGGACAGATGAGAATAAAATGTTTCATCTGTCCCAATATTACCAATAATGTGACAGATGAAACCGTTAAAAAATAAAATAAGTTCCAACCGTCCCATCGTCGCAAAAGAGGGAAGGATAAAACTTTATACTCTCATCTGTCCCCACGTGGAGACAGAGCGGGGAGACGGTTGGGAATAATCCCGGCTACGGGGCATAACACAATTTAGTTGTAGCAACTAATAAAATATTAATGGTGAAAGAATATTTGAAATCTGTCCAGTAGTTTTTGAGTTATATACAAAATTGCAAATCTTTCGTCTTTATAAAGTTAGTAAAGAAAATAGTAATCACTAGCTGTTGCTTGCGACTTGGTCTACGTGAAATAAAAAAAATGAAAACATAGCCTATGTTACTCACTGATAATGTAGCTTTTAAATAATGCAAGAACTTTTAAAATTTCCCCAGTAGTTTTTGAGTTATTTCAATACATACGAAAATACAAATCTTTCCTCTTTATAATATTAGTATAGACGTATAGATTTAAAGTTTACTGAATACAATTCTATATCTCTACTTCCAGATAAATTCTCTAACCTGGAAGAATGAATGTCTTTTGAGTTCCTCGGCGTCACCCTCCCCGCCGCCTAGACGTCTCCTCGGGTCCTTCACCAGGAGTCTGAAATATTATGTTTACATATTAATGAAAATTAAAAACATATGTAAACGAAATAAAAGCATAGAACAAACAAATTGATTTAATGAGAAAAATATCCGACCAAAAAACACTAACAAATTGTTAAATGTAGTTCGGAAACTGGGCATTAGTGAACTCACTTTATAATAAATCCTGTACTTTCGTGTTTTTTTAATTACCAAAAACAATAAAATCAACCATAGGTAATAAAGATCTTTTATAAAATACCCCGTACTTTCGTGCAACCTTACAACTAAATTCTTAACAACATCCCGTACTTTCGTGTCACACAACTCACTTTTTAATAAAATCCTGTACTTGAGGGCTAACTTCATTAGGGACGGGGTAACTGCACCGCACTATCCTCTTGGTGATCTCTTGCTGCGTGTTCCTCTCACCCTCGACGGTGAAGGGAGACGCGCCAGTCAGCAACTCGTATGTGAGAACGCCCACTGACCACCAGTCCACCGCCTGCAAGTAACAAATGGTTAAAGATAACAATATATTATTTTAAAGGGGAGAGAACTTAAAGCCCTTAAAACTAAAACAAATGAGTACTTGGCATGGAGGTCGCCAGTAGTGGGGACTGCAATCCCCCTTGAGTCAAAAAACGTAAAATAGATATAAAAATTTCTCAAAATAAGACCTAATTATATCTGCCCCTCAAGACCTAGCCTAGATCATAGGCCCAGTGTTGGACATTAGCTTGTACTGAAGTACGAATTACTAAGGATAACTATACAAAGGAAAGAGAATTCAGAATGTTTGTTAGTAGTTTAGCATCTTTAATAAAAGAAATTTGTTAACTAGAATTTTTATAGAATTTGTTCATTGGGACATACACGGGCTGCTTTATCAAGATATTCAAGCTATCGTATGATTTACATTCGTTTAAAACTGTCGATAGTCTTTTTGATGCAAGTCCGTGTATATCGGCCCTTATTATTAAACGATAAATTAATTGAATATTTATATTCAGTTAACAATTTAATAAAAACTAAGAACATTGAATATCAAATAAAAAAATAAATCGTTTCTTTCGCATGAATCTTTGAATTTCTAACCTCATTCAATACAAAGAGTTTTTGCTTGTATTTGCGTGATTCGTAAACTATTTCTTAGTAACAATTTAATATTTTTTCGAATAAATGAACGTAGTTTTTGTAGCAATTAGAGTGGAAAAACTTAATAATTGTTAAAGTGGAATTATCAGATTTCTTGGTTTATGTAGATTCTAAGATCTAAGATTTTTTAGCGCATTTTAAATAATATTACTATTTTTAAATCAAATTTCACGTGAACCTTTTTCGCGCAAATTATTTCAAAAAGGGTTACGTAGTTTCCATTTCCGTTTTTTATTCATGGCATAAAGGCAGAAATACACAAGCCAGTAAAATAAGATGGCATGGCATATCAGGTACTGGCATGCAAGTATATCAGCTGTACTTGTTACTTTATGTATATTCCAGGCACGATATTTTAGATAATAAACAATCCAATAAATCATTTAATTAAGATATACTTATCAGACTAACGCGTGCCGAGATGTATGTAACAAATCGTGTACATCGCCAATTTGTAACTTGTCTAGACAAATTGTATATCAAATTAACGTGTTATTTGAACATTTTTAATAAATAATGATATTAAAATGAATGAATTTTCGTTTAAAGTGTCGAAATATAATACGATTATTTGTGAATAAAGTCGATACGGAATTTGCTTCATCTAGACAAATTACATTCGGTGGAAGTAGACAATTTGCCGGTGGCATAATTATCATTAACCTTAACACGTACGAAGATTTCCGAAGAAAGCCGATCTTGGAACAACTTCCGCGAAACCTTGACGGTGATAACTGCATAAATGTACCGTGAAATATCTTTCTAATACTATCTTTCGCCCGCGACTCCGTCCGCGCGGAATTTAAAAAAAAAACAAAAGCATGTAGCCTATATGTTCTTCCAGACTATCCTCTGTATCTATGTCAAATTTCATCGAGATCCCTTCAGCTGTTTAGGCTACAAACTCGAACAAACATCCATCCATCCATCCATCTAAACTTTCGCATTTATAATATTAGTAAGATTATCTTGTAAGTAGAACATGCTAATATTACACTGATTACAAAAGACAATAATTTAAGCATTTGTATATAGTTAATAGACAAAACAATTTGCTGCACACAGAGTAATTAACTTTCCCTTACCCTTTTATGTAGATTTTTCACACTAAAATTGCTTATCTTAAAACGTGGCAATAAATCTAGTTTTGTTCCCATCAAGGTAACGGTACATATTACGTCTTAACTGTGCAAAAAATTCGCATTTTCCACCGTTCAGTTACTAAGCTTCGAAGAGAAATCCCGTTGCCATGGCAATTGAATGCCAAAATTTAAACCTAATTGACCTAGATGTTCATACAATCTATTCACCACCTAATCTCATATACAATAGAGTTTAAATTAGCTTGAATGTACTATCAAATTTGGTAAATCATTCTGAACTCTATTCAGATAACAATAAAGTGTAAATTAGATGATATTAGTATAAAAATTACTGTTAGCATGCAACATAACCTTCCGCAAGAGTATACCGGCCTCGATCCTATCACGTTCAAGGTTCGATTCCTATTGTTGTAATTTTAAAATAATTTCAACCTTATACCTAAAAGATAAGATTGTTTTTGCGTTGTTCAAACTTACCTCTGGCACAAGAATCATTGTTAACATAGTGAAAACATCTTCGCATGGATAAATTTATTTTTCGTTAGTTACGTAACAATATTAAAGTACAAACAGACGAATTGATAACCTCCTTCTTTTGTGTTAAAAAAAATCATATCACCTCCTTTAAAGATGTGAGTTGAGGTCCTTTTTTTAAAAGGCATTTAATGCACTGAAACCTTCGTTGGCCAGCTTCGAGCGTGACTTCATAGTCACAGGATCCCTAGAAGAGAGCACCGGTACTATCTACGATTTGCTTCTGCATGATTCAGGAGAATAAACTCTCCTCATGTCTTCGCAACTTGGAGGTGTTATGACCCCTTTTATTGGAAATTTATAACAATGTGGGCTATTCTATGTACTCTATTATTGTTTTAATAGAAGCCACAATTATAATAAACTAGCTGTTGCTCGCGACTTCGCCCGCGTGAAATTACAAATATAACCTTATACGTTCGCCATTTTTTCAACCTATTATATTACCAAAAGTATTAACTTAGTAGTAATCTACGTTATAACAGAAATCTACTGATGCAAGATTACAAATTTCTAAGCCCGGTAGCTTGTAAGCTGATTTTGCGATATCTTCCAAACTATTAGCCGTAAGCCGAGAAAAGTTAGTTTCGTAATTTTTTGACGCCGGCGTCCAGAAACACGCCGTTTATTAATAGTTCCTAAACATAAGTAATAATAAAATATAGCCTATGTTACTCACAGATAAATTACCTTTCTGATGGTGAAAGAATTTTTAAAATCGGTGCAGTGGTTTTTGAGTTATTTCAATACATACAAAAATACAAAGTTTTCCTCTTTATAATATTAGTATAGATAGATACAATTAGATTAAATAAACAATTGATTTAATCAACAAAAACTGTTCTATAGTAGTTAATTATTCAAATATAAGTAAAATTTGCTATCGCCAATCGACAAGCGTGCTAATGAATTCGAGAACCTACCAAAAAACCGGGTTAACTTAAATTATAATTGCTTTTTAATTTGTGACGCCTCTTATCAATTCAATGCCATTTGTATGAAGAAGAAATTTAAGAGTAGAAATCACAATAAACTTTCATCACCCTATGCTTTTTCCTTGAGGGTCGGCGCAGTATATACTCTTTCTTACACCTCTATCTGTAATCACTCCCTTCTCACGCATATCCCCTTTCACATAATCCGTACTGCTTTGTAACAACGGAATAAACATATTTAAAAAAATACACCGTCAGCCAGGCAACAAATACCCGACTATTAATTACACTTAAAGCAATGAACGGTCAAACAACGAACTAGTTAGAAGTATCACACGGGGGCAGGTATATAGGACAAATACAGATTTGGAGCGCGGTCATACATAAACACGCTCCGTCCATTGTTCTATACTATTTCCTTGCGCAATTACGAATGTTTGAGTATTGATAACGAGATTTTATTACAACTATTTTGTAGGACACTGGCGATTGCTTGGAATAGATCTTAACCAATTTACATAAGGGGCAGTTTCACTAAAGCTAAGTAAACTGTTATCACGTAACTTCGGAACAGCTGTACGAATATGGATGAAATTTGGAAGAAATAGGTTACACTAATGTTGCGTGAAAAGTGACCTTATCTAGGAGTGACGACTGAGGTGTCGGAAGATAAATCTTGTTGGACAAAAACCTGGTGCATCCTAAGATAGAGTGGAATAATAAAGGCGAGATGATATATATGTCATAGACCATACTCTACAGAAGTGCTCATAATAGAGGTACTCAGATTTTTTAATCACATACGAATGAAGTCGTGGGCAACAGTTGATTTTCAATGTTGACGTAAGGCCCGATGTTCACTTTACAAATACAATATCGAGTTAACTATTGTCTACGCAGAATTAAGTTATTTTCGTTAACGACGAAATCGAGTTAAGCAATATATTGTTGGTTAAATACGATCCGATTTACGTTTAGTAGTCCCAGCTTAGTGACCTATTTGTACTACTTTCCAAGTTATCTAGACATACGGGTAACATGACAAGAAGCACGTCTGCAAGCGTGTATACCCAGGCTTGTGAGTCAACAGTGAGACTGACCCAAATGTTCGCGCCCCACCATTACCTTTACTGTACAAACATCGTAATGTACTTACTGTTGCATGGTACATATGAATATTCAGACGTAAATACATTATTATGTGTACTTTTATAATAGCATTTTGAGAAAATTAAGCCACATTTCTCATGAATACTCAGTCATGTAGTACGTTTAAATTCTTAAATAGGACAATATTACGCAAGTTAGCTTTCGCCCGTGAGTCTGTCCGCGTGGAATTAAAAAAAACAAAAGTAGCCTATGTGTTCGTGACCATCTACTACATCTATACCGAATTTCATCGAAATCCGTTTAGCCGTTTAGGCTACAAACTCTAACAAACATCCATCCATCCATCTAAACTTTCGCATTTTTAATACTAGTCTTGTACAATACAATTAAGTTTGATATTTATCATAATTAGAATCTTTTAAACAACTTCAAAAAAGAGACAGTTATTAATTCGTCTGTATATTTTTACTAATGTTTTGTTTTGTTTTTCACTTTACTAATTTGTTTCCAAGTCTTGTAATGAAACAGACAATAGTTGACATTCGCACCATTTATTAACTTTTTAATGTTGATTTTCTAAATCTCTTTATATAAAATTTAAATGTCCCTTATCGTTACATTACAATCGATTATAAGTTTTATAACAAAGTATTTGTGGTTTAAAA